CACTACTCAAACACTCTGCTTCAATAAGTGATGTTCAGTTCTTCCACGTGAGCTCTGCTTAATGAAGGACCAGTTCTAGCCACCATGCCACTCGCTGCATGAAAGATGGATGAACTCTGAGACTGCAGTGCCTCACTTCCTTATCCACTGCTGTCATCAAACTGACTTTATCCTATGACTCTGAGACTGAACGGGGTCAAGCTGGCTGTTTGTGATAAACCAGCAAAAATCGCAAATCCTTTGCTTCCTAACATTAAGAGTCCAGCTCTGAAACAGAAATTCCTCCACAGACAGTGAGGCAAGCAGGACGATGGTGTTACTGCAAAATGACAAATGCACCTGAAAACCTTGGTTGATTGCAATATAACCAGAATACAAACATCCACCCATCCATCTTCTTCCACTTATCCAGGGCTGGGTCACGGGGGAAGCAGCCTAAGGAGAGAAGCCCAGACCTCCCTCTCCCCAGCCACCTCCTCAACTATCTGGGGGAACACCAAGGTGTTCCCAGGTCAGTCGAGAGATATAACCTCTCCAGCATCTCCTTGATCTGCCCCGGGGTCTCCTCCTGGTGGGACATGCCTGAACTACCTCACCCAGGAGACATCAAACCACCTCAGCTGGCTCCTTTTCATGTGGAGCAGCAGCTGCTCTACTCTGAGCCCCTCCCAGATGGCCAAACTCCTCACCCTATCTCTAAGGGAGAGCCCAGCCACCCTTCGGAGGAAGCTCATTTTTGCCTCGTTCTTTCGGTCACTACCCACAGCTCGCTCAGGATAGGGACATAGATCCCTACCCTGGTTATTAAATACAAATAGCTGAGCCAAATCCTCTGTAACCTGGCACATCATGGCCTGAACTCTCTGAGAAGAATGATGCAACACCCTGAAAGTGAGCTGCAGCACAGTGGTCAACAGCATCCAGCAGTTTAACAGTACAGGTTCCACTCAAACCTCGCCGTGAGCGACCCAAAAAGTTCAGTGCACATGCTCAGCGTCATATCCAGAGGTTGTCTTTTGAAAGCAGATGCATGAGTGCCGGCAGCATTGCCGCAGAGGTTGAGGGGGGGTTAGCACTGCATCACATGGCTGTCGTCCCAGAAGGAAGCTTCTTCTAAAGATAATACACTACGGATATACATTAGGTGTGGTCTGATGAGACCAACATAAACGTATTTGGTTCAGATGGTGTCAGGGGTGTGTGGTGGCAACCAGGTGAGGAGTACAAAGACAAGCGTGTCTTGCCTACAGTCAAGCATGGTGGGGGGATGTCATTGTTTGGGGCTGCATGAGTGCTGCTGTCACTGGGGAGCTACAATTAACTTAGGGAACCATGAATGCCAACATGTACTGTGACATACAGACAGAGCATGATCCCCTTCACAAACCGGGCTACAGGACAGTATTCCAGCATGATAACAACCCCAAACACGCCTCCAAAAAGACCAGTGCCTTGTTAAATCTACTGAGGGTAAAGGTACGTGACTGCCCACGCATGTCTCCAGACTTAAACCCTATTGAGCATCTGTGGGGCATCCTCAAATGGAAGGTGTGCAGCACTTTCTGTCAGCTGTGGTTGTTTTAAAGAGCTTTATAAATAAAGGTGATGATGATGATGAGTGGAAGAGGATTCCAGTGGCACCCTGTGAAGCTCTGGTGAACTCTGTGCCCAACAGATTTAAGGCAGTGTTGGAAAATAATGGTGGCCACACAACTTACTGACACTTGGGCACAGTTGGGACATTTTCACTCAGGGGTGTACTCGCTTTTGTTGCCAGCAGTTTACACATTAATGGCTGTATGCTGAGTTATTTTGGGGTTAGCATCTTGTCCATGTTTATCTGTTCAGTAAGATGCTTCGCAGGTCAGACTGTCTCTAAAGCTCACATGGTGCTACTATCTTCGTTTTAAATTATTCAAGTCGTTAATCCTTTCTTTTCCATTTCTAAAATAAACTTCACAAATAGAAGAAAAAATAACTTCCTCAATAAAAAGAAGAAACTGCTAAAAATACGATGGAGTGGTGCTGCTCTCGTATTTTTAGCAGTTTTTTATTCTAAGGCGTGATCCTTAGAACTCACCACCACTATTATTTATTCAGAACTAATTTGGTATTTATTTACTTGTCATGCACCTGAGAGAAAGACCATCCTAATTTATGAATATTTTCTTGCTCTTATTTTGAAAACCCCTGCTGACACATCTTCCTGGTTTGTTTCCATGACAGCTGGTTGACCGTCAGTGAAGTGGTGGTCCTCGACATCATCTGTTCTGGAGGATGGAGGTCCACTCCAACCAGAACCTGCAGCAGGTGGAGGCCTGGTTGACGAGCAGGGACCACGTTTGCTGTTCGCTGTCTGAGTTGGTGTGAAACCAGAGGACGAGGGACTCACCGGAGAAGAAGCAGAGCATTGCTTCATTGACTGAGGCTGCTCATGTTTGCACGGGATGACACTATACTGGTACCAGTGTGCACATTTAGCCGCTAACACACTAATGCAGCTCTGCAGTCGTATATTCAGCCTGCGTTAAGTATCTGTTTGTGGTTTGCACATCAGCGAATGACCTTGGGGACTCAAACGCTTCATGCTTACGCTGCTGAGCGGGTCAGGCTGTAATGAAGGAGCATGTCATCGTGGACAGTCCTCATGACCGCACGGGTAATAGCCAGGCTGCAGCAGACCAGCTGAATTGTTTTCTGAATGACTTTTCCTGGGATTGATTGTCAATTTATTTCCAATTTAAAGTCCTGATCCTCAGCTGCACAGTTTCCACCCACCTATCAGACTCCATGCACCCCCACTCCCCCCACACACACCTTTAATAGAGACCCAGTGCACTCTACTGCATTCAGCTGTAGCCTGTGTGGCCAACGAGAGTTTTAATCAACCTTCCCTGCAAAAGAAGTGTGATAGTGAAGCCTTTGTGGCTATAATGTTTCCTCAAACAAAGCCCTGAAAAACTGTCAAAAGCTACAATCTTGTACCTTTTATGAGACCGTTCAATTACTGACAAAAAGAGATTCAGTCAGCTGAAATTACATCTCATAAAGTCTGTCACAACTCCAGAGAAAACTAATCATGTATCAGAAGGCTGACTCAAGCAAAAACGCGTTTCCCCTGCTCCATTCTGTCCGATCCAGTTTTACCTGCTGGGGAAATTTTCCCCGTGCTGTTAACGGTTTCTTGTCAAACCAGGGTGTGCTTTTTGTGATGTAGATGAAATCTGAAAATGATATAAAAGATACATCCTTCAGATCAGAAACCTAAACTATGCACGTAAAAGAAATGAAAATCAGCCCCTTCGCTCGTGAATCTAAAACCAGAAACCAGGGAAAATCACAAGATGTGTTTAGGGAAAGTGACAGTAATGCACATGCTGATCTCAGAGCTGAGGAATGGGCCTTTAAATGCTTTCTGAATGGGTTCATGGTCCCTTCTTGCACGTTTACAGGTTTAGCTTCCTGTGTTTGTGAGCATAGGGAGCTCGTAGTCTGCGTTTCCTCCTGAAGTCAGTCTGAGCTCCTCGACACGTAAAACTAAGAAGCATCGCGAGGGTGTGCCTCAGACGTTTCAGGTTTTCTGCCCTTCACCGTTTCTGTGTGACATCTGTCACGTCCGGCCATGCTGTGCATTTAATTAAAAGCATCTCTAATTATAAAACTTGAGCACTGTTGCACTTATCATAAATCCAGCTGCAGCTGAGCTGCAACAAAACTATTTATGACACAAATGACGTCGCTTTAAATGAAGGGGAGGATGTCTCTCTCTTTTTACCTGCTGCCTCGCCACCTCAGCTCTGGTAGGAGGTGCTAAGACATGAGGAAATGAGACAGGTGTTGTTGCGGCGGGATGACTGACGGTGCTTCTGGAGAGTCGTTTGTGTCGCTGAGTTTGTGAAAGTCGATTAAATTAAAAGCACAACCCGCACAGTTCTGCTGATATGACAGTTCATTACATAAGTAAATGATCTGAATATTGTTGCTTTTCTCTTTAGCGTTACAGCTACAACACTGGACTAAATTCAGAGTGACTTTTTTCAGGGCCTCTGGCAGGAGTCACGGCAGTACCACAGATCAGTACCGTGCACCTGAACACAACGTATTTCTTTAAATGACCTCCATTTTATAACGTACTGTAAACGTCACACTCTTGTTTCTCCTCCAATCAGAATCAGTATTAATGAGCAGTGTATGACCTGTGCCGACGTCTTCAGAGGGGTGTAACTCCAAAGCGTAGAAGGAGAACAGGTGTGAGCACAGTTTTAAAGATGCTTTGCAGCAGGTTGGGATCAGTGAGCGGGTAAAACCAGGGGCACCTTTGTGGCACTTTAGCCCACTAACCTTGTAGTTGCGCTCAGATGAATGTCTAAGGGTTATTTAGCTCCAGATCTTCCCCTTTGTGTAACTTTTACCTGTGTGAAATATCCAAATGGAAAGGCCAGCTTGCTAAGCTTGTTTAGCATGTTGCTAAGATGCAGTCTAACCCGTTTCTGAGACTGTGCTGGTCTACTTGAACTGAAGCCAGTAGCCTTTCACACTTCTTTGCTTGCCCAGTGAGGTCTGAGTCTTCACCTTGACCCCCATCCTCGGGGGCTGTCGTGAAACCTCTTCGCCGTCTCGTTGGTCATCAGAGATACTGCAGCTAAAGAGCCGTCAATTTCACCCTTTTTATGACCATGCTGCTCATTTTAATTCAAAGGTCGAGAGTCTTGTCATATATGCGCACACCGAGCCACCTCACGGGTTGCCTCAATCAAACCCAGATCAATCCCCCGTTAATCTCTGTCATCAGTACGACCCGTTTATCCATTTCAGCATCTACGGACGTCCCGGGAATACATCGATCATCGCTTCCCCTACCTCCAAATTAAACTCTGTCGTGAATTATCGCAGAGGGACAACAGAGCTGGCAAATTGTTTACATCTAATCAATATTCCAAGTAATCAATGCAAATTATCTGTATGCAGCGTGTGGAAAGACAGAGTGAGCTGAGAGACTATTTTCACAGCGTAGCCTTTTTAATGGGAAGAGCTTTCAAACGGAATTGTCCAACTAGTCATTCAATGGCAGAATAATTTAGTACAAAAAGGACAGTGGTACAACCGTTCCAGTGAGTCCAAAGACCGTAGATGGTTGCCAGGCAGCGAGCTGTCTAGGGAGGTAAAACCTCTTGTGGACTTCAGACGGATTGATTTATCAATTCAAGGCTAAGTGGAGCAGTAGAAAAGTGACGGTGACCAAAAATCTCATCCATAAACATCAGTCAGAGTGGGAGAAAATATTTTCCCGGCAGAAATAAGTTAAATCAGAATGAAGAAAGGGGTGATTTTGCTTTTGTTTAAGGTACCACTTGGTTTTATTATTACAATGCACACTCCAAAAGCAAAAAATAAAAGCCTTGGCATCTGCACACCCGACAACATCACGACCGTACGAGTCACTCGAGCCTGCGTCGACCCGTTGCTGGGTCGACCGCAGCGTACATTATTATTGCAAAGGGTCACTTTCAGTTGAACTCATCATCAAACAGAAGGACATAAAGAAATAAAAGTTGTGAATACATAAAATATGGATCATTCAATTCTTGAATAGTGGGAAATACACTTTAAATGCAAACACACACAGAGTAAAATAAAACGTTAAAACATGTGACCCATGACAAAAAAATCAAAGTACATAACTGAACCAATAATTGAACTTCTAAGCTAAGATTTTACAAATCACAGAAGACTAATCTTGAATCATTTTCTCGTTTTAATCATTAATCGATTTGAGGCTGTATCAAAAACTCTTGTAAAAAGAAAATTAAAACGTGATCTTATTGTTTCGGTGACTAATCGCATCCGCGTCTCGGCCTCCGTCGTCTCCTCCGTGAAATCTAGAATGGGATTATCTGTACAGTCCCGCGTGGCGTTCCCCATCCGAGTGGAGAGAAGAACTGCCTCGTTACATAAAAAAATAATTCTCCCTGGTCCAAAATAAATTGCAGGGTTGTTCTTCCTGTTAGTATACAACGTGGAGGTGTGTACAAAAGGGCAAGAGTTGTGTTGCTACATTTAATAATTGATCTCCAAATCTCGTCAACCTGTCAACTAAATTTCTTTGTTGCTTCCATCTGATTGAGTCTGTCGGCTGTACTGAAGGGAGGAAGGTTCATGTTTGAATTGTGATATTAGTGTTTCATAGATATAAACAAACAGGAATACAAAGCTCCTGCAGGTTATTTTAGTGAGGCAGTCCCTTTCTTCCACATTTCTTCGACCTCCAAAAAAATATAACAATCTATCATAACGTCTTCCAGATATACAGTGAAACCCAAAACCAATGAAACAAAAATTATTCTTCTTCTCTAAATCTTTTTAGGCTACCTTGTTATTCTCATCTTTACTACACATTGTGAATAAGGATAAAAACAGACAACTAGTGTTAAAAGGCAAACCGTATTGAATCTGAATAAACACGCCCGCTCATTCAAACACACACTCACGCACACACTTCGGCCTCCTATTGTCTTGTGTCGTCTGCAGGGCTGAATTGAGATCCTCGCGATAGCTTTTCTCATATTCGAAGGATCTGTCTCCCTTTATTAAAAATGCGAGCTGTCGCCTGCAGCGGTCTGATGACAGGACGCAGTCTTCTCGCATTATTTAAAAGCCAGGCAGAAGAAGAGTTAGGCAAACACTTCAGTCCAGAGGAAAAAGAAAAAAGAATCTTGGGCTAAAAAGGTGAAAAATAATCCAGTATCCAAACTCGGGAGAAAAGAAAATGCTGGGATGGGAGCGCACGTCTCCCAGTTGTTGCTTCAGACCAGCTGGTCGAACCGAAGCCAGTGTGATGAGAATTTGCTCGTCTTAGGCCACTGTAGTAGGTGGGCTACCACGAAAACAGTAGTCCCTCCCTGTGCACTGTAAAGCCCACCCAAATCATTGCGCCCCGACCCATCCCAAACCAAAGTCGCTTGAAGCCTTTTTGTACTATAGCACCTCTTGTCATCACTCCCTGCAAATGTCCAGACAGACGAACACCAGAAAGGAAACTGTCAGAGTTCCTCAGGCATCCTCACCCTCCGCCCTATCAGGGGAGGGTTAATCAAGTCTTAGGGCGGCACATAAGGAGGTGGAGATCTGTAGGGAGTTATGTTCTTCGGACGGGAGCCCTTGCCCTCCATAGGAGTGGTGAAGGGAGGAGGCGGTTGGTAGGGAGGCGCGTTGGGGTCGTCATCTTGCAGAGCCGTGTACTCCCCCAGCAGCTCCTGATTTAGGGGAGTGGTTTCTGGCGTGGCCATGTTGGGGTATTCAGGGGGTGGAAGTGGGGGCTTCTCTTCCTGGAGAATCAAGGGCATACTGGAGGATGGAGGTGGCTTGGAATCATCAAGTTCGTCTGCAAAGATAATCGGCACACCTTTCTTAATGAAGGTGGCCTGGTCCTCGATGGTAAGCTTGCCCTTTCGTTTCTTTCTATAGCAGATCATTGCAATAATTCCTGCTATTAGCAATATTGCTGCCACCACCACAGCAGGAATGACCGTGTGGAGGTAGACGTCATCTGCGCTATCCTTGCTTGATCCCACAGCTGGAGTGACAGCTGGAGGTTCTGGGATATCGATGTCTCCTGGTGGGATGAAGGAATACATTCGGCAGCTTGCCCTCCCCTTCACCTTGACGTCCAGTGGTTTGAATTCGGGGTCCATTATGTGCTTGAAGCTCTGTGAGGGTCTTCCGTCAGAATTGGCCAGCGTCCTGCTCATGACTAAGATCTGCTCCTTTGGACATGGATGCTGAGGCAGGCTGGTGTTCGTCCACTCCACCACAATGGACCCTTTGGTGATGTTCCTTAGACTCACCGTGCTGCTGTTGCGGTCCCCGAGGACATATGCCAGCTTTTTAACCAGGAGGATCTTCCTGTGGATGTTGTTCGTTACAGACCGTGGCTCACCCTCAAATCGTGCCGTAAATATAACGGGGGTTTTGTCATTGGTTGGCCAGCGGTTTACGCGTACCTCAAAAGCATCAATTGCATTGAGGTCACCTTTGTCAGCTGCCTGCATGAAGTATTCATGTTTTCCCACATGCTGGACATCAGGCAGTCCATAGAGGAGTTGGCTGGTGGTGTTGAACTGGATCCAGGAGTCCTCTGGAACTATTTCATTATGGTTTTGTCGAAGGGTTAATCGCAGCTTATCTGTCGTTCCATCCTCTTTGTCAAAGAATGTATCAGATGGGATCTTGACTTCGAAATAAGTGCCGACCAATGCATTGACCTGGTCGATGGGGTTCCTTAACTCGGGCTTTTCGTTGAATGGATCTGGAACAGTGCGTGATGTGGTGGTCATAGGAGACTTTGTTGTGGGGGTCTTTGGCGTTCTGAATGCTGGTGTGGTTGTCTTCTGCTTCCTTCCTGGTTTCCTGGTAGGTTTTCTGGTGGATGTGGGTGTGGAGGCTGTGGCTGGTGTGGCGGTGGGTTGTACGTAGGTAGGCCTGGTCATGCTCGGCTGGATAGCAATGCTGCTGGTGGACTCCATGACCTTCGTTGGCTGGGAAGGTCCCGTAGTCGGAGTGTGAGCAATAGGGTCACGTACTCTAAAAGTAGGCTTTCCCGGAAGCGGGACGGGACCTCTCACGGGAGGGGCAGAGCTTTCAGTCGGTGCAGCAATAGAGGGAGAGGAGAGGGTTGGGATAATTCGCACTGGTGGCTCCACTGCAGTTGTTGGAGGAGGCACAACCAGAATAGGCGTCGGAGTGTTGTTTAGTTGTCGTCTCACTCGTTTGGGGACATGAGGTTTCTTGTTAGCGATGTGCCAGCCCACCACGGGGTAACCCAGCTTGGCTGACATTGCGCCTTCCTTTGCAGGACCCTGGACGCTGTTGATATCTGGGACTGTGCTCTGGTCCAGCGAGCAGCCGAGCTTCCAGGACAACAGAGCGCCGTTCTCCACCACCTGGAGAGACATCATAAATGTTGATTAGATGTTTACCAGTTCAACCCATTGGTGACCATTAGAATTATTTATAAGTAGCTGCACAAGGTAACTAATTTTGTTCTATAAGAAGCCCTTCAAATTGACACAAACTGCTCAGTTCAGAAAAGAGCTTTGAGGGTTACTGCTAGTAGAGTGAAATGACTATTCACTCACCTTTTTGGCATTCCCAGGTCCAGCCATAAACGCAGACATGTCAAACAGCCTGTTGTTGACCACAGGAAGCATCTTCATGTACTGAAGCCCAACACCAGAGAAGCTCCTCATGTTATCCAGGAGCTCTACCCTCTGCTCTGAGCTCATCTTTGTCAAATCAGCATCCAGGATCACCGTCAGCACTGTGACCGGTTCCTCGTTCCCACACATGAACTGTTGGACGTCATTTTCAGTGGACGCCTGGTTAGACGTCAGCTGAGCTGAATCTGAATCCAGGCAATCTTCAGGGTGCACTGCGATGGAAAATACCTCTGAAGAAGACGAGGATTTAGTGTGGTTGGAGATGGACACGGTGATGTAGTGAACACCTTTATCCTCTTCCAAAGGTAGACCTTGCAAGATTCTGCTGCTGGCATCCCAGTGCAGCCATTCTGGGAGCGAGTCCTTACCCATCTCTGTAATCTGGAAGACAGAAGAGGGGGGGAAAAAAGAGCCAGATAATTATATATATTAGCTAGCTTAACGGTTTTAGCATGTAGCTACAAAATATCCAAAAAACTGGGTTGGAAGGGGAGTTGGAGATGTACTATGATGTGGTTTGGTTTAGGCCAGGGGTGGGCAACATTTTAGATGTGTCCTTGATCCAACACAGCTGATTTAAATGGCTAAAAGTTCTCCAGAGGCCTGGTAATGAACTAATGATTTGATTCAAGTGTGTTGACCCAGGGTGAGATCTAAAACCTGCAGACCCTCGAGCCCTGGAGTTGGACACCCCAGGTTTAGGCTCTAATCAAACATGATTTCTGGTCAGCTTTGACAGTAGTCTAACAGTATCAGAAGACAGGTATGAAAGTTTTGGGACCTCTCTACTTCAATTTTGCAACGAACCCGATGTAAACGTAGCTTCTTTGTGTAAATCTGAAACGGCCCCTCTGTGCTCGTGCCGCTAGCAGTCAACCACAAATGTCGATGCTCAAATATAAATCATAGTTTGTCATCAGCGTCTGCATTAACATAACCCCTACGTCAACCATAAATCCAGTTTAAGCCTTCCTCCTTCAGCGCATATGGACACACTCAACAGAATTGTAATTTAAACCCGACTAAAATTAAAATAACTCGGCCAATTACACGGCTGGGGACGCCCACATGGCAGGAGGCTGATGGAGAGAAATGGATCGCAGGGGACTGACAATGCATCCGTGCACATAAATTCAAAAACAAGAGCGAATGCATCCTGCGCCGCCTCCCCGCCCCCGACCCTCCACCAGCCCCTACAAGTTAATTCTGCGGCTAATAAATCCTGGTTGATAAATTATGTAGAGGCAACGCTCCCTAGACACATCATTAATGCTCTAACCAGCACACAGGCGTCGCCGGGGGAAAACACACACAAACACACACAGCCATGCAAACAGTCGAACACACACACAGAAGCCTATTTTCCATGAGAGGTGCAGCGCATGTGGCCACCTCAACAAAAATCATGCCAGCAGCTGGACTTCTACCAGTTACCCCCTCGTGGACAACAAGTCTCCTAAATACCCCCCTTCACGCCCCCTGCTGGATAAGCGCCCTCAAGCCTTCTCTGGCAAACTCTTGGATCTCGTCCTTTTTTCCAGAAGCAGAGCAAACAGCAAAGGGACATAGTGGAAATAAGTTGTTCCAGTCATTTTATTTATATCTTCCTGCCTTTTCTTTGTTGCCTCGCCTGCCTTTTCTCATCCTCAGTTTCCCGTCAACTTCACTCTACTTCCCTTTCTTTCTGCATCGCCATGCTCTCCTCTTTAGTCCCGCCTTCCTTTTCCTTCTGTCATTTCAAAGTGTCACGATTAAAATCTGATGCTCCTTTTCCCCGCCGCCAGATAAAAGCTCATTTCTGGATGTCACGATTCAGCTCGAAAATTATTACTGCAGGAAAACAAATTATAGATACAGTTCTGTCCACATAATTATAGATTACAGAAAAGCAGACAGGGCCCATTATAACCGACACTTGAGCTTCATAACATAGGCTGTTTGAAACCAGCAGCCTTCTGCGATGCTGCGCGGCGAGCAGCAGAGACGGCAAAAATATCAGAACGGGTCAACGGCTGGAAATCAAGAAACAAAAATCTTCAGCTTCCTCGGCTGATTGAGTTTGTCACAAAGTGTTCTCCAAAGACCGAACTTCAAACCAAACGCCTTCTGACACGGCGCTGCAAATTAAATCACAAAGAGACGACGAAGGACAGGCGAACTGTCGGGCAGCGATCTCCTCCAACTCGTCTCTAATTGTTCGGTAAATTGCTTAATTTGTGTCCGAATAGCAGAAGGATGATCGCTTACTTAAGAGTTGCTAATTAAATATGAGTGTGAGGAAAAAACACGGGTGATCATTTCACTTATCGAGGCCTATATCAGGTAAAACTCACTGCTGTGCTGTGTTAGTACCGTACGGGAGCCCCAGTAACACCAAACTGGGCCCCAGGTCCAGACAAACACAAAGGAACCGTTGCACCCCGATAAACATATCACCCTTTATACAGACATTCAAACAAATAATATTCAGTAAACCTAATTTTAGTAATTACTATATTTTTATGATGTCATTTCTTATTCTGCAGGGATGTAACTCCCTGGTGGGCTGTGAAGGTACTGCAGGTTAAAAAAAACTATTCAAAATCCTTAATTCTTATAAAGGTAAAAAAAATGACAAAAGTTAAAAATTTATATGACTTATTCCCTGAGGATTAAGCATAAAATCAAATGATAATCTTTGGTTTAATTCTTATATCAGTCAGTAGGACAGCATCCATTGGGACTCGTTCGTCTATTAAAATCTTCCTTTGGACTTCAGTTTTCAATTTTGAAAAGAAGTTAAAAGACTGAAGCACGAATGTGAAGTTTAAAAATGATTTATTCTTCATTTTGGGGGTGCGTTTGATCCCAAATTCACTGAAGAGACTTTAATTTGAAAAGTAAAGCTGCTGATGAATCAAATTCAAGAAATGAATGAAAGGAAACACAAAGCGAACAGTTCATTTTCCTCTCGTGTGATGATCAGAGCCGTGATTACAGGTTGGGGTCGGCTGCAGAACATTTTCATTCTTCACACGATCCGAACAAGCGTTAAGATATTAGCAAATAAAAATGGAGCGATTCACTGATTCGGCTGAGATGTGAATTGGACTTGTGTGTAGCTTTTTCTGGCAGTTTCCTGTTATTTTTGGACATTTCACAATTAAAAGGCGCTTGAGTAAATTCATCTCCACTTTAGTTTATTGTGGATCTCAGTTCTGAGGACTTCCCTTCCTATATACATTTTTATATGCAGGAAAAATCCTGGTGAAATATAAAAAGCTCCTGCTGCTTGCTACCAGGCATCCACCACAGGGTGAAGACATGTCGGGAGAACGTGACGAGGGTGGAGCAGAAAATAAAAGATGACAATGAGAGGTGGTGCTGAATGATAAGCTGCAGGCCAGCTGTTCCCGTTAGCTGTGTGGATACAAACGGCAGATGAAGCTAGTCAAACCTGATGTTTATTTTACTAAAAAAACCCAAAAACCCATCTTCCTGACCCGAATGACACTAAAACGGCAGCGGCACAGGCCCGACTCCAGCTGTGATTGGGTAAATGCATCCCCTCCACAGCACATTCCCCAAAGCTGCTCTCCGAGGCAGCGTTCCTGGCTCGGCGTACGTTAAAACAGAACACAACAGCGTCTTTTTAACTCCTACATGAACCCAGCAGAGAGCGTGGAGTTTCCCACTTCCCTAAAAGAACATGAAAAATACATCAAATCCTCTCAAAATGTCAAGAAAAATATTTCACATCTTTTCCTGGCACAAGTCTGCGGCGCAGAGGAGTTTGATGTTTGGCCCTAAAGGTTATCGTGCGCTCTCACGGGCTACTCTGGCTTCCCTTCTTCCTCCCATTTAGCACGCACCTCTGGCGAGGTTACAGCCCAAGCCCCTCTGAACCAGCCGGGAAACTTTGGGAGGATTGGTCTGCAGGAGGAGAATGGAGGGCGCTAAACCGCTTTGTGGGACATTATTAAAGGTGAAGGCGAGGGATGTACGGACGTACCGAAGCAGCGAGCAGGATGAGAACCTTTCAGAGCTTCGGTTAAATGCTCGAGGACTTTACAGAGAGATCCTTTGCATCCAAAAAGACTTAATGCTTAATGACGTTGGTGCTTTATGGCCGATTCAAAGACCGAATCACTGACATGCAGACAGAGGTGTGGATGCCCCCCCACCCCCCCACTTAAAAGACTTAATTAAAGCCAAATACGTGATAATCTCAAAGTTGGGACTTGTTTCATCGTCTTTGAAACAAGTCCCAACTTTGTGGCTGACACATGCGTCAGCCACAAAGCCACCATGACTATCAGCTGCAACAAACTAGGCAGAAAATGTATTTGAAGTCTGTGTGAGCGACAGCCATGAAACACGAGGAGACGTTATCGCATATCAGCAGCATCATCCTCGTTTTCCTGCGCGTCGCTGGGCTCGCTCGCTCTGCAGGCTCAGCTTCCTCATTCAGAGACGCAGCCTGGACAAAAAGTCAGAGACGGATCGCAGAGTATTCGCAGTGTGTCTGACGTGCAGAGGGCATGAGCTTTATTTTGAAACACCCCCTCTGACCTCTGGCACATAGGCGTGGACACTAGCAGGCTCCTTAACGAAGCACTTCTAGTTCGAGCCCAGTGTTTGAGTTTTCATTCCATTAAAGTCATTTTTAAATGAAATGAAATTGAATATATTTTATAGAATTATACTTTTAATGTTGGCCGTGTTATATTATTTATGTTCTATGACCTACATTAGCTGTTGTAAACGGGCCGCAGCGTCTCTGCCTGAGAGTAAATAAAGGTTTTCATGTCCTCTCTGACCAAAAGGACCCTCGCTGCTAGCATCACAGTCGCTACGCTACAGGAGCAGCGCTTTTATAGACCGTCCCACCCGGTTCTGGCTTGTGAAGGTGTGGCCTGCATTAGCCACGCCCTGGATTTGGACACAGGTAACACGTGTTAACGATCACAGGTGGTGTGACACATAATTAACTTCTGTCATCACTCTCTTCACACTGGACACACACACACACACACACACACACACACACACACACACACACACACACACACACACTTTTGTTACCTCGAGAAAAATGCAATCACAGAGCTCTTTCAAAGAAGTCCAAGAGTGGGAGCGAGCGTGAGGCAGATAGACTGAGATAGTGACAAAGACAGGAAGCAGGAATGAGTGAGAGAAAGAAGATGAGAGGTCAAGCAAGAATAATGAGAGAGAAAATGAGGGAGAGATCTCCTAAACATGGACATATTACGAGGAGGCGTCGAGTCTCGCAGCAGAAAGAAAGCAGCTCATTGTCGCAGCGAGAGGCGAACGCAGAGAAAGGAGTCCATTGTTACGGCGGACCTGGTGACAGCTCCACAGATAAGCCTCATATTTGGGAG